AAATCAACTTACGCTTGGAAAATTGAGTGACGAGATCTGCCTTCTTGGAATGTTTCCATCAGAACAACACAGGAACCCACTAAAATACTTTTATTTTTGATAAATTAATAGAATTTCAACGTCATACTGAGACTGAATTAATTTATAAGCTTTAATGTGATTTTTATGGTTTAGTGTAGTGATGAATATACTTCTTTTAAAATACGGACAATTTTAAAAGATGGAAACTCTTTGCAGGTCGAATGTGAAATCATATAAATGAAATTTCTGTTTCATTAAACGGTTGTCGTGCTTTGAATTAACGGGAATTACAGAAGTTGGACTGCCCTGTTGTCTTCGTCGCTAAGAATTACTCCACAGAAGTGCAGAGTGGAACTGGACGTAAAGCTCCACATATTCCTGACCTTGAAATTATATGCGTATGGAATGATCGACCAATGCCCTAACCGAGATGCCAGTAGGAAAAGGGGACTTGGTGATTTTTAATTAACAGAATATAAGTCCATACTTATTAGCACTGTGAATACATAACACGAGTTACATTTTTATGCTTTGTTTGTACTAAGAGCTACATCTGAACGCATAATGGGAGGCCACTTTTGTTAGTATGCGTGTTTTATCTTCGTTAACACGACTCTGATTTTGGTTAAATTCATTACTGTGACTGCATATTAAAATTTATCAAGGAAAATTAATTTTATTCATATTCATCAATTGCAAAAACCGCTTTACACAAAACTACAGTTTGTAAGAAGTTATATAGCTCTTATATGAAAAATTTGTCGATGTGGTACATGTTTAATAACTAGGGGCTCCTCCCCTACTGTCGTCACTCACGAGCCCCGTCATGGCGCCTGATCCTTCCCCCCTTCCTCTTACTTTCCTAAATTTCCTCCCCTCCCTTAGCCTCTCCTTGTTTCAGGGATTCAGAGACAAAAATGAGGGACCTGAACAGTAATTATAAATAGGCTAATATTTCATGTTCATCGGACACATTTGCTCTACCATATCCAATAACTTATTCCTGTCATTGAGTAGCTCGTCGTGGTCTACCTGAGCTCCGTTCATATTTGCTACACGCCACAATTCTGCCAAAGCCTCCCCGTTTCGTTCCGTTCCTGGTACAATCACAGATGTCAGCGCTGTTGTTTTGTTGCCTATCTTCTACTGTTTATAAATAACGCGCAGTCACTTTTACCATTATCTCATGAATGATAATTACGTTTGTAATATAATGTAGAGAGAACCAACTACCGTCAGAATTAGGTAGGCTGGTATAGCTACTATTGGCAGAGCCATCTACCGGCAGATGCCTTGTATTACCACACTCTCTAGCACAACATGATTTATTATTATTATTCAGTGTTCTGTCTTACGACATGTCCATTGCTCTGCCCAAAAAGAGCTCTCCAGTTTTCCCTATTCTCAGCTTCTCGTTTTAATTCCTGGAACTTCATCTTCTTTCCTTGTTTCAGATCGTCGGTTAGCTGTATCAGTCTTCTTCCCAGTCCTCGCTTTCCTTCAACCTGGCCTTCGATGATATCACTCAGTAACCCATTCCTTCTCATAATATGTCCCAGCCAGTTAGCTTTCCTTCGAGTAATCGCCTGCAGAATGTTTCTTTGCTCGTTGACTCTCCTCAATACTTCTTCGTTGGTCACTCGATCCGTCCACCTGATCTTCTCTATTCTTCTCCAACACCACATTTCAAAACTCTCCACGTATTTCTGTTCCTTCTTCCTGAGTGTCCAAGTCTCTGCTCCATACAGCGCGACACTCCATACGTAACACTTCACTAGTTTCTTCTTCATCTCCAAGCCCAACTTGCTAGTGAGAAGTATCCTCTTCTTGACGAAAGCTGCCTTGGCCATGGCTATCCTCGCTTTTACTTCCTTGGTGCATAGGGCGTCCGTCGTGACTATGCTTCCCAAGTACTTGAAATGCTCCTTCTTGGTGCATAGAGCATCCGTCGTGAACAACATGATTATAGAAAGAAAATGTAATTTCCGACTCCGGGTAGTTTGTTTACATTTTGGGTCGTCCTCAGTTTGTGGATGGTCAGCTGGTGTGAACAGCTGTGCAATAATACATTTATATTTGTTACCTGATTTAACGAGTATGTGATGTTTATTTGTTTCTGTTTCTGTTTAAGAAAATATAAAAGGTATTTATTTATTTAATTAATAATTTATTGTGATACTTTATGTAAGTTGTATTGAAAGCACGGTGAATGTTAACGTTATTCACTTATATATACGTTCTGAATATAATATTAGATGATAGTACACAGCAAACGTAAAACAAATGAGATTGTTGATTTAAAGAAGTTCAGTCTAAGAATTATAAGCCTACGTCACCTCGATAATAAGAAATAGGAAATCCCATGAAGTCTATTTCAATCGCGTGTTTATTTACATGGAAGACGCCAATATCTTCCATTATACAAATAAACATTAAGGGTCAGTGTCATTTCACTTGTTGGTACGCTTAGGTAGACGCTTGAGATACTATATTTACATTTATCAATAGAATTGTGCAACTGTCCTTAGAGGATATTCTGATGTAGTAACGAAGAAATTTGCATAAGACCGGGACATATATTAATACATATAATGCAAAAAATTGACAGTGCCATTAAAATATCAGGTTAGAAATATACCGTAGTTTAAAACAATATTTTACGGTATAAACTCATTTAAAAAGTATATGAAAATAATATAATGGAGTGGTCATTGCAAAGAAATGAGGGTTTAAAAAAAGTATAGAACATAAGGTAGCAACTACAGACTCTCATTAAGTTAATTCTAAGTGTCTGTAACACTAACATATTTATATAAATAAATAGAATTGGTCAAGGATGTTTCAGAAGGTGGAGGTTTGTGAGCATGGACTATATATATATATATATATAACATGTATGTGACATACTTCGTAAATTCAGCCATTCATTCATTTAAGACTCTATTTGTCTGCTGAGCTTCGTCAAATCAGTTTTTCAGTATCGATGATTGTTCCTTGAAATTTTTGAAGTGAGAGAAGGATAGGCGTACATGTTCTGACACATAAGATCGTTCTGTGACTGGGCAGGTTAGTATAGCGATTCTAATATTGCTATCCTGCACGAGTCTGTTTTTAATTCCACTTCCGAGGTTTGGATAGCAACCATTAATAGGCCATAACTGCCTACTTTCAAAAACTTTTCCTCTCGTTATTTATTATTGTATATAATTCTTAGATTTTTATGAAAAACTGAGCCTGTTTTAACAGACAGTAGAAAGTTCTCGGCTGTTTATTACTCCATCTTCAGGGTTCCAGCCGCCGCCATTGACGGATATGTGACAGCGTTGTGTCAGAATGGCCTGAGCTATTTCGACGGCAGACTTAAAAATTCATTATACTCAGACTTAGGGAGTTGTTAAAATGCAAATTTTTATGAAATGAGAGACGTGTGGGTATTTGGACGCCTGTGAAGAATTTTTTGGAAATGAACAGCAGCTGATTCTCATTTGCAGAGCTGTCAGCTACAAACGTCGAGACGTGAATACGAAAGGACAGGAGGGAGAGAGTATTAATCTTTCTATTTCAGCAATGTTTAGAAATAAAACGTCAATAATTTCAGTAAACTAAATCTATAAAAAGTATTTTAGTCATGGATAAATATTTATCCGGAACATGGCTGTCGTCTGGGTTGTTGCGCCGATGTTTCAGAGGTCCTTGCTGCCTCATCATCAGGGCGATCGTCCTGATGATGGAGGCAGAAAACAGCCTTCTTCGGACTCACCGCCGCGAAAACCTCAAATCGTAGGCATTTATACGTCTGCGTGTTATAAGTACGAAATACCATCTGGTTCCTTCCTTTTCGCCAGAGTGGAGGATTTCTTACAGCATTAGAGAGTTATCTGAACTGAGGTTTTGTCTGCACTTTCAAGTAAACTACGAGCCGTAAAGAAAATGAGATTAAGATGATAAGACAGTTGAACATGGAGCTGCGAGTTTCTCATCTAGCCCCACTTCTTCATATGTGTAATTTTACAGTCTGTTTGGTAATTTAAATTAGTTTCACCAAGTTTCATCTTACAGATTTAATTAATAATATGCTCTACAGGCCCATATTCCTTTGTATAATGCAGTCTGAGATTGCTAAAGACAAAGTGCTGAGAATGATATTTAGACTTAAGAGAGACGAAATAAGAGGAAATGGAGAAAATTTCATATATATGAGCTTTATATTTTTTACTCTTTACCAAGAATTATGAAGGTAACGTAATAAAGTAGGAAGATATTGCCTACGTATGTAATACTTTTACAGGCAATTAGAAATTTATACACGTCATTCGGAAAACCTGAAACAAGGCGTAGACAATATGATAATATTAAAATGTACAGCCAAGTTGACGATGTGGACTAGCTTTACGTGGCTTTGGCTAAGGTCTAATGTTGTAAATAACTTCGGATTCCATAAGAAAGGGAATTTATTGTCTAGCTGAGCGATTGATAACTTCTCAGGGTGGAATCCGCTACATGCAATTAGAGTACGTACTTTTGTAAATATGTGTATCGTACTTAACAGCACACTTTTATCTCTACAGTGACCTCTAAAGTGAACCAGCGTCTTTTACACCGATGTTGTCATAGAAGGCAGACGATTTCATTGTCTGCTTTGTTTCTCTGCGGGAAGTAATGGTGCCTAAGTGATAGACTAAGAATAATATTTAATTAAATTACTAATTAAGTAAAAGCTAATACCGGAAATTTTCGCAGAAATAATTTTTTCTTCTGATATATTAATCAGTGTTTACATAATAATACTATTGGACTAAATGTTAGTATGTGTGATATGAACAGACACATTGATGGCTGTCTTTTTGGTTGTAGTGCCGTGTAGTCTGGTAGAAGTTTACAACCATCCATCTTCGTTTAATTTCATCTTTTAAGTTAAATGTAAATGCATTTTAAAAATACTGTGAAAGTATTATTTACTTGAAATGAGGAAAAAAAACTGCAAGGTATAATTTTATTTCAAAAGTCCATCAAGTACATTTATTATATTCACAAATATTGAACAGTTTATGAATTGGAATCGAACATATAGTCATTGATAATTCAGACTTTACCAGATCCACGTATTACAATGCTGATGAAATGTGGGAATAGTGATACAGATGTTTCTTGTCATTTTATGAAGGGCAATTCTTGGATATTTTGTATTTGTTATTACATCGTAAAATAAATTTTACTCAGCAATTTATATCAGAATCTGTACATATTTTACCGCTTAAGGTATTCAGTCAGGGCTCAGACTAGATGATAAGCATTTTGATTAATAGCTGGTATTAAGTGGCTGAACATCAGAATTAATGTTTCACAGAAACATGGTAAAATGCTGATATCTGAAACACATTTCTGAACACGAAAGGGAGCTGACTTGTTATTTTAAGTCAGAAAGATATGCTCTGATTATTTATATCTATTTGCAATAAAGCGTACGGAATGCTATTGAATTCAAGAGTATGTTGTTGTGAATATGGACAAAATTTCTTGTATTTAAAAGCATGACGCGCAGACCACTTTTTCATCTGCGATATCCAAGCTTCCAACTTTTACCAAGCCTTCAGATTCAAAAGTGCTTACGTCTTCCTTGTCATGGATGAATACGAAAGGCATGTTGGTGCTGATGACATTAACTAGGTTCGAGAACTTGATTCCAGAGGGAACCTCAAGCTTAACAACAGACATGTCCTTCAGGATCCTGAAAGCAGGGGTGTTGGACAGCACAGTGGGTTGTACCACGACTGCAGTCTTCTCAGAGCCGGTCTTTATCAGGTCGTGAATGAATTTGGTTTCAGGGTTCTCTGCCAATGAAGAGAGCCCGTTCTCCAAGATATAGGCTGTCAGCCCTTCAACTCCCGACTTTGATTTCAGTATCATCGTGACGGGTTTGTTATAAACGTCACGAATACTGATAGGAACGGATTGGAAGTCACTGCGAAGTACGTTGGGCACGAATGGGTAGTAAATGTTGTATGGGATGAAAGGATTTGCTGATACGGGGATGCTGTACGGGTAAACAGACTTCAAGCCGAAAAATGAGGACCCGACAGTGTCCGACGTGGACGATACTCCTGGAACACCTGAAAAGATTACACAGATTTTACAATCTCTCAGTTATAACGTGTCACATTATTTTAACATTACCAAGAAATCATGGTCATGACTGTTAATGACAGGAAATGGAACTTCATTCCATTTTAAGTTTGTTAATAGATGCTATATAAATGTAATCTATAAAATAAAATATTTTAGATTCAGGATATTATCCGGTGACGGACTCTTGTGAATAAGATAATGAAGAAGTAGGCTTTAAGGTTTTCACGGCGGTGAGTCTGAAGATGGCTGTCTCTGAGTTTAACGGGGTATCTGTGGTCCTTGCTGCCTCGATTGTGGCCACAGACCAAGTGATCTCTGAAACGTTGGTAAACTTCTACCAGACTACATGAAGCTAAATCCCAAGAAACAACCATCTTCACAAGCTACCTTCCGTAAATAATTACGACAGCTTCTCGTCCTCGGTAGTATAGTGGTTAGTATCCCCGCCTGTCACGCGGGAGACCGGGTTTCCATTCCCCGCCGGGGGGGTTCTTTATTATTAGAAGGCCTGAAATGTTTTTTATGACGAAGAATGACGTTCGTTGGGAGGTGACGTTATGCCGTGTGATTCATAGCTGGATACCAACGTTCGGGGAAACATTCCCTCTCCATTTTCAGTCTAGAATGATGAAGAACATCATCTTCACCGCCATGAAAACCTAAGTATTTCAGAAATGAAATGATTTTTGTCTCTAGTAGGTACGGTCTTGAATCACATCAGACCACTTCACGTTTGCTGCTATTCTAAGATCAATTTTTATGTTATCCGCACTTTCAAACTGACTTTTCTAACAATTTTTTTCTCAGAAACATCTCTCCTCTCTCTCAGTAGTAACCGAAGACGGTCATTTCAGATTAACTTGAGCCAGTTTAGTACCATCCCGTCCTCATACCCTGTTTTCCTAATATTTAACATATGTTATCATAGTATCCTACTTAGTCTGTGAAATGGCCACTATTCAGAACACTTATGTATCTTAATCCTGTATGAATCTTGTATCCCCCGATAGTACTTGATTTTTTGTACCGTTAATGTATTGTAGTGTAGTCTGCCACCATATTCTGAAACACTCGGTTAGTCGGTCACTTATTGACAATTAATTCTTTCGTGAGAGTCGTTTAATTATTATTGCCCTGTCACTGTTCACAACGTGTATAAAAATTTATTAAAGCAAGGAAAAATGTAAAATAATATTTCTGCATCGTATTCTAGAGGAAGCAGTTAAAATTTTGATGAAGGTTTTTTTTGTTATTTTGTACAGTTATGTCAAGCGAATGCTTTTATGGTACCCTAAATGGAGTATACCATGAACAGAACATTTCAAAAATTTACGAACATATAATTTATAACTTTCACTTCTCATCCGATACTCTAAACGAAAGAAGTTGACAAAATACATATTGAGAAGTTCTAAAAGCGATCTGGCAAACGGTGACTTACCGAAAACAGTGAGCTTCTTGACGGTGGTTTCCGTGGCGGAGGTAAGCCCCAACGCGAAGAGAAAAACAAGGCAGGATTTCATGTTGTTGCTGGTTGTTCGAAAACTTGACCCATGACCAAGGACCTTCAGACACGCGGTTATATACTCTACCAGTTCGTTACCCCCACCTGAAGGTATTTTCCACTTGTAGAAGAAAACAGTTGGCGAGAATGGATCAGTGCTGTTTGTGATCCGGTGTACTGTGACCCGTAACGCCTGTTTTGTTACGATTAAAGACGGGTGTACGTAAGAACGGTTTAAGAATTTAAATAACGACATTCTAAAAATTTAAGCAGTTTCGGTTGATTACTTTATAGAGACTCTTATTTAAGTTGCATAGCTGCTACTAATGCCACTTTAACACTCCTAAACAAATTATTAGCGAGTAACAGCTTCCTGACAAACGCTGATAACGTAAAGTGTGCGATGAACAATTGGAGATTTTACATTAAATAGATCATAAAAATACCGAGACTGTATTTGTAGTCTGTAATAAATCAAGAAGGGTTAGATCAGCGGACATTTGTCACAAAAGAAGTATATATGTAGTTTTTGTTGTGATTTTTAAGGGTACGTGCCACTTGAAATACCTGATAGTTGATTGGAGATGGAATTTGAAATTGTTTTTAGAAAAACAGGGTTTTGAGGCTGTGGGCTTTGTTGCCCAAATGTCAAATGGCGTGCTTTTTTGAACAGATTTTTAAACTTTAGGTGTGTGAAAAAGCCTGATATTTTTTGATCGGTTGAGTAAATGATAAGCGAACATCACTGGACTGTGTTTTGACTCGCAGCCGGGAAAATCACAAATCCTAAATGTACCATTCTTTGAATTACAGCGGTAATTAAAATAGATGCCTATTATTTAATCTGATGCTTCGTATTCTGTCTGTCTACACAGAATGAATCTATTTACGATCCACAAATTGTCAGTCCCTCAGATTTTTTGAAACGTGTTTTCTAACGTGGTATGACAGAATTCAATTTTATTACTGAGCACCATGTTTGTTTTCATGGTAATTGGTTGGGATGTGCTCCAGATGTCGCTTCAAGAGCTACAGTTATATGCGACGAAATCAGTTTACTTTTAAATTCTAATTACAATTTCCCATTATATATTTATCGTTACGGTCTGCGCTGATGCGTGGAAACAAGAATAACAGTTTTGACACTGTCAGAAGTGTTGTAACAGTTTCAACAAAAAGTATTTTTTTCCCTCTTCTAAACCATCATACCATGAAAATGTATGCAGGAATGGAGTTAAAGTAATGGATGGATGTGATTTTTAGTCGCTTTATCTGCAGGAAAACAGCACCCGATACTCGTTGGTTGTAGACCCCAACGGGTCCCAAAATCGGTCTGGACGTGCAAGCTTAGAAAGAAAATCCAGACTCCTAGAAATCGAAACCCGATCTGTCTTTGCGTAATTTCGTGGACAATCATAGGTGACTGTTCGACCTAGAACGTGGGTCTTGGCCACTTGGGTACTGGGAATATGGATTTGAAATCCACTCAAGAGGCTGATGATTGTGTTACACTTCAACATCAAGGCGGCCTGGTTTTTCCAAGAACTGTAGAGCCACAGGCAAAAATATTAATCATCATGAGACATTGTATAAAATGAAACCGACTTAAATTATTATAAGTCGTAGTGTTAAGAAGGAAGAAAATCTGAAAAGAATAGTATGTAATATAAAAAGAGAAATTTTAACGCTAGATATTGGAAAATGGCTATCATCAATAAGAATGTTCCAAAAATGTATTTGTCTTTAACGGAAGACTATGATCTTATCTTACAATGATATACTTACTTCTAAGTCGCAACATTAATAATCGATAAGAATTTTTCTACAAGGCTGATAGCATATGAATGATGTACTTAACTGTACAGACAAGAGACAGATATTTTTTAATCTCTGGAGTTGTTATTGAATTTTGATTGCCTGTTTCCTTAGGGTCATGCAGTGTCTAAGCCATGTTATAAACTGAAGTAAAAACTTTTCTACGTGAACTAGATATAAAAACTTTTGTAATTAAGATAAACTTTAAAATGTTGTAGCTGAATGAATATTAATCATAAGGCAAGAAAACTGACGTTTTATATAGAGAGCTGGGTTTGTTTCGACGTATAGGTATATTACTCTTAATTAATTAAATTACTTTACTTTTGATAAATGAAAGAGAAGTGAGTTTCAAAATTTATTATAATGGTAGAAAACACATCCAAACTTATTATCGAACTTGACATACGTGTGTGAGATGTAAGGATTTCAGGGCGATGATGTTGAAGGCTTTCTCACCGTTTGTGACGCCTAACAGACCAGGCGGTGTTACGACCAACAAGACCACAATTAACATGAAGTAGCAGTTTTATTATTTTGTTTTAGAATATTTTATTTTTACGTACTTGAAGATTTGTTTTAATGTCCACTTTTTAAATATCTGTAGTATTTCATAGTGTCCAGTGTAGACTGCATCAGTTTCTTGATATACTTAGATTTGTGGTTTATTTAATGACGCTGTCAGTAGCTTAGTCTATATATCGTCGAATGATACGATTATTAAAAAATAATGAATTCTTAAGGGTATGGAGATAAGCTCTCGAAGCATAATTTAAGTTACTATTTCTGTATTTACTAGAAGGGACCGTGGAAAACTATGAAGAATTTCAATCCGGATAGCAAGTCTTTGGGTCGAGATTCAAACCAGGAACCTACTGAATATGAATATTCGCCTCCTAAGTTTTGTAGAATATAAATTTTGTCGAAGTTTCGTAAACATTGTTGATATTAAACATTTTTAATTTTATTCTTTGATAGTGCAGGAATGGATAATATAAGAAGACAATGATGTAATGTCCAGATTTGATACTGCAAAGGAACTTATGAAGGAGGAAGTATTGACTGAAGTACGCTTGCTTATTCGTAATACGCATTTCATATATATTATATTATCCATCAGATAAAATCTCAGTTTTACAAACAGACCATTGAGGTGTTATTTTGTAAAATTGTATCCCGGTGTCTTTTACCCCTACTTCCAACATTAGAGGCACAAGACAATAGAACGAAGAACAAAGCAGAAGATACACCAGCATTCTTACACTATGTGATCGAACCAGAATCACACTATGAAAGATAATTCGAATAAAAAATAAATAAATATGTATACAAGCTACTTATTCTCTTCTTTGCATCTGGTTTTCCTATAATAGAGATACCTAGTAAATAGTAACACGGTCATCACTTTTAATATCAGAAATAAATATCGATAATAATGACATTGATGAAATAATGTGACATGATGCATCTGTTGTTGATTGTGATTTTAGCCTGCAGAAAGTACTCACAATTTTGGGACTCATATATTTCCAAAATACACATAGTTATTACTTTTCTATAAATGTGAGGAGAGGAAGGCATTAATGATGGCTCCGATGTGGATTCTGTTAGCATCGAACCCGAGACCACTATTACGGAAGGCTGATTTATTTCCACCACACTACAAAATACAGATATTAGAGGTTCAATGAGTTTCATTCAACATTCATATGGACCGCGTTCGGCCCGCGATCTCTAGTGTGAATGCGCATACTAAATTATTTTTCCAACAGGTAGACTTCATCCGTAAACTACTTGTTCAGTAACCTTGAGCTGAGTATCAATAACACTTCTGTTTGTCTGGGATGTATAGGAATAAACAAGAGAGACGTGTTTGCTGTGTTTTGTGTGATCGTAATAGATTGAACATTTGAAAGAGCTATATAGTATTACGCTGCTGTAGATAAAGTGAAATTAGTGCATCATAATGACATGAAACTTTCTCATTAATCAATGTAATATTTTTCTGAACTTCTCATACTCATGAGTGAGTTCAAACAAGTCTCAAGTACTGCATCGCGTGTGCTTGGTCACCCTTTCCCACAAACTAGGCTAAAGGAAAAATGTAAATTCAGCGGTGGAACTGCGAGACAGGTCTATTATCCCTATGATGGATCAGTTCATGAAACATACAACACAAAGTTCTGAGCATCGTAGATGAAACCATTATCCAGTTAAGTGGAATCTGATTGTAAAACCCCGAAATTTCAAAACCGCTAAATACGAGATTTCAATGCGTTATATCAGCGTCTTGTGTGGGTGGTTGTCAATACTGCGTAGTATTCGGGAGGTCCCGGGTTCAAATATTGACCGGATATAGGTTATTTTAATTCAGATTTTCGTGATTTTCCCGGACCGCGCAGGAAGGCACGGTACGTCATTAAGTGCACAATCGCGTCCTTTCATGGTTATTTTAATTCAGATTTTCGTGATTTTCCCGGACCGCGCAGGAAGGCACGGTACGTCATTAAGTGCACAATCGCGTACTTGGTTATTTTATTTACAATTTAAAAATCTAAATACGTGACAATAAACAATAAAGCGCTACAAGAATATACAACAGAGGAGTTTTGCGTAATTTTCCAAATAATCCCGTGAAAAAACATAATTTTTAAAAGTGAATGTGATTGTTTTTTGATACGGGTATGGAGAAAATTATACAATAAATGAGCTCCATAGTTGTACTATTTAACAGATATTATTAGGGTTATCAAATCAAGGAAGGTGGGACAAAATGCGTACACAATTTCGGTTGAAAAATCTGAAGGGAACAGATCACTTGGAAGACCTAGGTATAGACGGCAGGATAATATTAAAATAAATTTTAGGTAAATGGGATTGGAGATTGTGCACTGAATTCATGTGGCTCAGGATAGGGCCCGTGGCTTTGTGTAGCGAACACGTTAATGAACCTTCGGGTTCCATAGAAAGAGACAAATTTCTTGTCTAGCTTAGAGTACTTTTGGCCTCTGAAGGCTAATCTGGTCCATGTAATGTTTGAAGAGAATAGTTAATTCGACTCGTGGGACGGTTATTTCCAGACGATAAGTATTTTCTGCCCATGGACATAAAAGCATTAACGGCCTGAGGGCGTGAATGCTGCACTCCGCAAACATACGTAGGATGTTCATTTCTGGGCCGATCACTGGCTTGCAAGATAAGTTAGATAACTCTGCCTGCGTCATGAAGTACCTTTTATTTCTTTGGAATTATGCGGTGTCAAATGTTTATTGTTCAATGCGGATTTAAGAATAATGAAATCAAAAAGAACATGGTAGAGGTATGAGGTGAAGGAAAAGAGATCACTTGGGAGACCAGGGCATAAATGGAAGGATAATAAAATGGATTTGAAAGTAGTAGTATGTGAGAAGTAGATTGGGTTTGAGAAAGGGCCCAGCGGCCAGAGTCGGATTTAGCCGGATCACTTAGTCTACTGGGAGACTACCAGATGCTGAAGAAGGGACGTTTAGGTATTACAGGAAACTTACTGTTAAGTTGTTATTTTTCCAAGTTTGAAAAAAAACAAGTAACATCTTAGGTAAGATACGTAAAATGATATTCTTATCGCATGGGCTGTTCATTGACCTGAGATACGTGCAACATCATTAGTTATCTGTTTTGAGTAGTAATAATGAACTTTCCATTACGAAGGCTAACAGACGCTGTCAATGTCACATTTATATGAGCCAGGAAGACATCGTCGAACAGTGTCAGGTTCTCCCTTCGTTCGTACCAGACAGACAGTTTTGCATAGCCGTGATGAAGGTTTGCGTTCTGATCTTTATGGTTGGGGCAGTCGCTGCTACGCAGGTACCAGCCCCCGCTACTACCAAGATCACATTCTTTGGTGAGTTAATCAATCTAATTCGGGTTTTCATCCATAATGTCTGTCGCGTAATTTACAATAAGTAGCTAACTTAGATATACTGATTAATTAACCGAGTAGCTGATAGTCACGCAGCTGATCAATAATTACCACTGTAATTGAAGCTGAAGTCTTCATCCTGAATCAGTTATATCCAGTCTTCACATTCACACCCTGTTTATGTAGCACCGGTTTTGTTACCATGTGGTCTGTTCCTTTTGAAGGACCGCGGTAATCTGATTGTTCAAAAGTAGCATAATCATTAGTCCTTTATTTGTGGGGTGGTATGTGCTTTCTGGGGTGAAATTGTCTTGGTCTCTAAGGATTTAGGGTTAGTTTAGTGATAAGATTAAATACATTTTCGTTACCACGTCGACGTTATCTGTGATTTAATGATTGTAATAGCTTGAGGTTAAGTATTATAAACAAAGAAGTTGTTTATTATTTTTGTCCTGATTTTATTTTTTCTTTCGTATTATCAACACCTTCTGCTTTAGTGTTTATGTATCCCGTAATAAAGCATACGAAGTTTTACATCCATAAAAACAGATAAAATTGTATTAAAACACCGTAAAATGAATAGTATCAAATTGTAACTGAATAACTTAAAATTATTTTACTCTACCAGAGGCACCCGAACCCACTGCGAATGAAGCAATAGGCATCAATGGAATTATGACCCAGCCTGTGGTTGCTCTGGTCAAAGAAAGAAGTGGTATTGTGGCCTACGTACTCGAGAAGGGGATGACATCTCTGGTAACTGACCTCAGCCCCGTCATCCTTCGTCTGAACGAAATTCTGAGAGAAAACGATAAAACGGCTCTGATCTTTAACCCAGTGACCCTCGCCGCCGACACTAACCCGAATTTGCAGCAAGTGAGAGAACTGCCCATCGTCAAGGTCGTGGCTCCTGAGAACACGCGGGTCTCCTCTGTAGCTAGAATCTCGCTCAGCACGTTGCCTATCGTTATGCTCTTCGAGAGGGAGGACTTCGCTTCTCGCAAATACCAAAGCTTGGTCAGCTATGGTGAGGTCGACCTGGCTACATTTGCTCCCACAATTGTTTAAAAAAGCCAGACGAAGGCTTGTTAAGTTGCTGTTAATACTTGTAAGAAATGATCTGAATAAATTTTAATATCTAACAATATTTCTTTGTTTATATATACGCGCATATAACTTTCCGAACGACGCAGTGCAGTGGTTAGCACTTCAGCATTTTATTCGGGAGGTGCTGTTGCGAATATCAGCCCGGCCATTACCTTTTGACCAAAGCTTTTCATAATTTTCCTCACTCACTCCAGACAAAATGTGGAACAGAACCTTAGATAGGCCACAACCGTTTTCGCTAAAGTCCATCCTTACCATTTATACTGGCGTAGTACCAAGGGCAACAACATTATCCAAAGTCTGTTGCAACAGTGTGACCCACTGACGTCTTTGTAAAAATGAGATTAAATTTAATTGTTGTGACGGAGAACCTGTCATTGTCGGAAATAATATTCTTCAAGGTCATTGTTGCAACATTGCAGTTAAAGATGTGACAAGCAGATATGCAATGGTCATGAGTTGTCCTTCGCTCACGCTAAAGCGCAAATCACACCTGAAAAGGATGTTCTGATTATTACAGACCCTAAATAAGATAATTGTCAATAACTAGGCCTAGTGAGAGGTAGCACCGAGTACTTTATTAACTAATTATATCGGCATCGATGCGTTTACCCACAGACTCATGTAATTCCATCACGCACAGAGTTTAATTTAACTTTATCTGTATGTGTGTGTGTGCATTTGTCACGGAGCACAGCATGTGAGTGGGAAGATGACATCCATTTCCAAGTTCGTCAGTTTGTACATTTTCATTTCGGAGTAACTACAGTTTTATCTCATTAAATTTTGAAAGCAGTTTCACGGTTGTTACAGCGCTACCTTGTTTTATACAAAGTGAAACAGCGCTTCTTTTTTGGATGCCAATGCGCATTCTAAATACATTTATTCTACATAGATGTAGGATATGAAAATGGCCAACCGATGAAGTCTTAAGCTTAGATAAACCTTATCAAAGCTTGAAGATGGCTATTGTATGTGGTGTTTCGCCGTCTACTCTAATTCTAGTTTATTTTGGTGCTGCCTCCATCATCATCCGTTCTGATGACGAAGGCAGCAATCACCTCTGAAACGTCGGTAAACATCCACCAGACTACACGGCGCATCGTCTCAGAAATCATCTTCATGCTTGCCGCCTTGAGAATCTGATATCGACCTTATACTCTTTTTCCCTTAATTAATGAGAATCATCAAATTTGTAATTTGTCTGGATTTTAAATCCGGTATCAATTTAATATTTCTCACAATTACGTTAAGATACGTCTATTAATTAAATCTGCTGGACCTGAACACTGCCTCTCTTCCGGACCCGGTGGCTGCCTCACCAAGTCTTTGCAGAGACCTCCAGTCAGAGACATGGTCATACAGAGATTTGATCTTGCAGAAAATTAGTCCACAGAGACAGTGTAGGGTAAGCTAGGTTAGGTTAGGTTAGGTTAGGTTAGGCTAGGCTAGGCTAGGTTATTATAGGCTAAGCTAGGTTAGCTGTTAGGCTAGGTTAAGTTAGGTTAGGTTAGGCTAGGCTTGGCTAGGCTACGTGTCACGGGTAAGACGTTAAACTGCGTCCGCAAATCGAGTGACCACCTGTATAAGTGGACTCACGCCACCAAGTGCCAATAGCCTCTTCGGAGGGTGGAGGATGAAGTAGGGACACCCTCTTGTCCCGGGGGTGAGACATCACCCCCAAAGGCATATAAACCAGATATGGTCAAAGGCGTAGGATGTGGAAGGCAAAGGGAAACCACCACATTAAAGATCCTTGTGATATCCCTAGTTCTACGGAACCGATGCCCAAAACATATAGGCTCTGTTCCACTGATAGGTCTGCGGACAGACACAGTATGATGATGGCTAGGCTACATACCTACAGTCAGAGACCGTGTCCATCAGAGACAGAGTATGCAGACACCTGAATCGGCAGACACTGGTTCTGGCACGGATCGGGTGGGAGAATTTTTCAAAATTTTCCAAAAGTTTAAAAATTCCTGCAAATTGACCAAAAATCGCTCATAACAACAAAATTGAAAAATTTCAAATATTTCTAAAAAAAATTATCAAAAAATATTTTCAAATTTTTTGAAAATTTTTGGTTTTGTACGCCTCTCAGACAATTTCCATCATTTTTCGATTCTTCGATTATTTTGATAAATTTGAAAAAAAAATCAAAATAATTCCGACCTGATGCACACTAGAACCAGTCCCTGCCAAATCCGATCTAAGCCGGACTCGCTCACACTCTCTCCAGCTTTCTACATCAACCGGTCTCTCGCGGACACCGTCTCTCCCTCTCACCCGTTCTCTCCCGGAATCCGTCACTGTCTCACACGTTCTCTGAGTCTCCCGTTCTCTGCGAGACACTCTCATTGTCTCGCCCGGTTTCTACTTAAAACGGTATCTGGCGGACACGGTCTGTCTCACCTGTTCTCTGCCGGACTTCGTCACTGTCTCACACGTTCTCTGCGTCTCCCGATCTCTGCGAGATTCTGTTTCTGCCTCTCCCAGTCTCTTCTGTTACCGGTTTTCCAAGACGTCCCGTTAGAGACAGTGCCATACAGAGACCGGATCTTAGAGGACCGAGTCCGACAGAGAGAGGTTCCGTCAAAGACCGTGTCAGGCGGAGGAACACACAGCGATCGTAAAGGGGAATTTTGAAAACAATTCAAAATTTTCAAAAAATCAAAAAAGCTGGAAAATGTCCAATAAGCGCACAAAATCAAAAAAATTGAAAAATTACTTCCTCTAAAAAAATCAAAAATTCAATTTTTTTGGTTTTGTGCGCTTCTCGGGGAATTTTTAGAATTTTTTGATTTTTCGATAATTTTGAAAAATTTGAAAATTTATTTTCAAAATTACCACTTTCTGGTGTACACGACAACCGGTCTCTGCCAAATCCGATCTGTGCCAGACTCGCTCCCTCTCTCTCTCCCGGTTTCTACCTCAACCGGTAACTGTCGAACACGGTCTGTCTCACCCGTTCTCTGCCGGACCTCGTCACTCCCTCACACGTTCTCTGTGTCTCCCGATCTCTGCGAGATTCGCACACTGTCTCTCCAGGGTTCTACCTCAACCGGTATCTGCAGGACACGGTCTGTCTCACGATCTATGCCGGTCTCCGTCAATGTCCCACAAGTTTTCTGCGTCACCGGTTCTCTGCGAGACACGGTCTCTGCTATTACCGGTCTTTACAAGTTGGCCGGTTAGAGTCAGAGGTTACGTCAAAGACCGTGTAGGCGGAGCAACACACTGACAATGAACGTAAGGGGGTTTTTTGAAAAAAATTCAAAATTTTCAAAGATTCAAAATACACTGGAAAATTTCCAATAAACGCACAAAACTAAGAAAATTTTTGAAAAATTTTATCTTCCAAAACAATTTCAAAATTTTTGAAAATTTGTGGTTTTGTGCGAATCTCGGACACTTTTCAGCACTTTTTGATTTTTCGATACTTTTGAAAAATTTTAATATTTTTTTCAAAATATTCCCTACATGATGCACGCGACAACCGGTCACTATCAAATCCGATCTAAGCCAAACTCGCCCCCCCTCTCTCTCTCTCTCTCTATCTGTCTTCCGGTTTCTACCTCAACCGGTATCTGGCGGACACAGTCTGTCTCACCCGTTCTCTGCCGGACCTCGTCACTCTCTCACACGTTCTCTTGCGTCTCCCGATCTCTGCGAGATTCTGTCTCTGCCTCTCCCAGTCTCTGCTGTTAACGGTTTTCCAAGACGTCCCGTTAGAGACAGTGTCATACAGAGACCGGATCTTAGAGGACCGAGTTCGACAGAGAGAGGTTACGACAAAGACCGTATCAGGCGGAGGAACACACTGACAGTGATCGTAAGGGGGAATTTTGAAAACAATTCAAAATTTTCAAAATATCAAAAAAGCTGGAAAATGTCCAATAAGCGCACAAATCAAAAATTTTTGGAAAAATTTCTACCTTCAAAATTGTTTTCAAAATTTTCGAAAATTTTTGGTTTTGTGCGCTTTTCAGACAATTTAAAGGATTTTTTTATTTTTCGAAAATTTTGAAAGTTTTCAACTTTTTTCAAACCTCTCCCCCAAGAGATGCATGCCAGCCTCGGTGAATACCTAATCCTGTCTCTGCTGGACTCGGCCTCTATCTCTTCCAATTGCTAGCTGCCTCGGTGTCTGCACCAACCGGCCTTTGCAGGACACGTATGTGACCGATCGTGTCTATGAACGTCTCGATCTCTGCCTTACGTGTTGACTGCAATACCTGGGCTTCTCAGAGACGGCACGTCAGAGACCGTGTGAGGCCCAGACCGCGTTCGTTAGACACACAGTACATCCGAGACAGTGCGAGAGTGAAC